ATAAGATGGGGCGAGTTAAACAACAAGGCAAGCAACCGCATAGATTCACATGTCTTTTCTAAATAAAGACAGCAAGGTGCTGAGAAACAGAAAAAAGTTCCATGTGCTTTTGTAGCTGGTTAGAGGTATCTGGAATTATACGGACCACATACGCTTTCAAACTGAAAGTGTGTGCATGTCTGTATTGACCCACACAGCAAATTTCAAGAGTAATGTTTATACATAGATATCAATCAAGATAACACTTCAGCATTACAGACTTATTTATTTATTAGGAGCAGCAATAGTGTTCTCAGAATACTTGAAGAGAAAAATTAAAGAACCTAAAAGACAACAGATGAGAAAGGCATTGTGTAACCTGACAAAACATAGAAACAAAGATCTTGATTTTCAGAAATTCAGCTTCAACAGAAGTGTCATTTTAAGGTTTTATGATACAGAAATGGTCAACGGCAAGATCAACTAGCACCCTCACTCACAGTAACTGCAGTACAGACTTTGACTAGCCTTTTCACTGAAAATTCCTCCTTCACTTTGATAATCCTTCTATTCTATTAAGCAAGAGAGAAGACTAAGATCTAAGTACCACTAATGAACTAAAGAGCCATCAAAGATTGGCAAAATGACTTTCATAAACCAACTTTCTGAAAACAAGATAAAAATGTTATCTGATGTTCACTGATTGTAACATAATGATGTGGACCTTGTGTAATCATTGGTCATGTATTTAATTCTAGCTCTGAATATGTTAATATGAAATTCCCAACAAACCATATACTATTTTGGTGTGTTAGACTTCTTTCTGATCTGGTCAGAGCTTTCTAGAAAAGCCTGGGAAAAGCCAAATTATCTATCAAAAATATTATTTTACATTCACACATTCTGCTGGAGTGACTCTTCTTCAGTTGTCTCGACCACTGTAAAATTGGAATTATGATTGTTTTATAAAGATTCAAACTCATGGATCTTTTCCTAGAATCTCTGTATATCCCAAACCTAAAAGTCATATCTTTTCTCACTCTCATTTGATGACCTTGCTTCTTAATTCACTACTAGAAGAGGAACAGTGAAAAACTGAATTTCCACATGCTCTCATGACTACATTGACCCACCACATGTAATCCCAACCCCTCTGGCTTCCTCTTGTACCAGTAGTCGAGCACAGCTCTCCCAGAATCAGTTCATTCTTACTCACACATCGACCACTCTCTTCCTCCTCATTAACTGTTCCTTACTCTATAGGATCATTTTAATTAACACAAAGATATTCCATATCAGTTCTCATCTTATAAATTGCCTTCTTCTAACTACAGCCTTAATTTTTATTCTCTTTTGCATTAAAATATCATAATAGTAAAATTGACATATTTTACCCAAATAAAGACACATGAATGAATTCAGTTCCCTCCACGTGTTTCAGGGTGCGAGCAAGATCATGACAGACAAGTCTAAGGTTTATTAAGGAGTCTTTATTAAGCTTGGTAATAGCAGGGCCCACCAGAAATAACAAATCACAAATCCACATAGCAATCCAGTCAATCGTAACCCCAAAAGGAACAAATGGTCATTACCCTGAAGTCCATCCGTTAAGCTGCAGACCTATGTCCCAGCTTCCCCAACAAAATAAGTTATCCTAAGAAACATCCATCAACCCAGACACGCTTACAAAGATGCAGGCATTCACCTTTCCCTGGCTTCTGTGCCCGCATTCCACTACTGCCAGGCCTCACCTCTCCTGGAACTCCCAATAGCACACAGATTAGAAATATAAAGCATCTTAGCATTGCTATCTTCACTAGCCCACCCAAGCAGTGAACAGAGGTTGAGGAATACAGACACACAGGGGCCATGCTCAGGGGATACCTGTCCTCAGAGGTACTGGGGAGGCCCAGAGTTGCAGTACCAAAGCAATGGAAGCACATGACCAAGAGAGTGAGCCCCTCCTTACCATTAGCCTTTATTGGGGCTTGTGAGGGGAGTGGTTACACAATGCAGTACCACCCCCTTTGAGGTTGCAGGTGATGATAGGCGAGCATCACAGGTGGGCAGGAGGGAACACCTAGGTGGTGGCAGGGAAGTGGCTTCTAAGTCTGTGATCCTGAACTAGCTGCCTACCTCACCACACACTTACAAGACATAACAGTCCATCTTTCTTACCATCCAGCCGACAGACAGAACGTGAGGTCTGACAATCCAGTTCTCTCGCTTCTAGTCTCCTTTCACTTACCAGTGACCCAGAGATTATATTCATCATTTAAATAACATTACTATGGTAACATACAAGGCAGCACAGAAACCAGTTTTTTGCTTTATAACTGTACTGATTTCACAAAAGCACTATAGGCAAAATTTGATTGCTTCACCCACATTAGCAGATAAACTTTAAATGATTCATCACAAGAACTAAGAGGATATGTCTGCATTAGACTGTTTTACCATTAGGAGCTAATGTCTATCACTAATATTTTCTACTTTTTAAAGATTTAGTTTTCTTATTTGATAGGCAGAGTGACAGAGAGAAGCGGGGACAATGACAGAGTTCTTTCATCTGTTGATTCACTCACTTGGCCACAAGCCAGTGATGCCCCAGTTAAAAAATCAGGATTCAGAAACTACAAAATGTCTCCCACTTTCAAAGCTTACCAGGAACATGAGGCAGAGCACCTGATCGAAACATTAGATATGGAATTTTAGCATTGCAGGTAGCAGCTTAGACTAACATGCCACATCACATGCTCCACTAACATTTTTCTTTGAAATTATGTTAAAAATAACTTGCCCAATATAATTGAAAACTTTTACTTAATATAACTCAATGCTTCATAAAAACACAATTTTAACTAAAATTTTATTTAAGTTATTAATTTGATAATGTAAGTCAAAATTAATTTGGCCATATAATTTGGCCATTAATTTGGCCTTATTCACACAGGGAAAAGAAACTCTTGGCAGAAATTCAGAAACCCTCAAAATAGAAAGGGGTGTGCTGATTCCCTTCGATCTCCAAGGTTTGAAAGGACTCTCAGCTCATTCAGTCAGTCCTCAAGCACAGTGTCTTTCCTCCTCCGGCCAATGTCGTGATTGCGAAGTATAGGATTTTGACTAGTATCATTAGGTCCTATGGGAACTGTGTGGCTCTCCTCTGTTTACTTCTAAAGTGAATTCTTGTCGATTTGATTTTAAATGTGAGCAATATGAAAGCATCTTATCATTACATATGAAGCATAAAGACATTTATCAAAGACTGCTGAATGCTAGGTATAAATCATGTGTGTTGCCAAATTACGGCTCTGTGATCTGAATATGTGACCTGGGCCACAAAATGAGGGACAGTACCAGCTGGTGGCATGAGATATAGGAATGTGGTCCTGGGAAATGGAACCAGAGAAGTTCGCGTGCAGCTCAGTCAGCTTTGAGGCAGATGTGTTATGTTGGTAAAATATCCCATAAGCCTTAGTTTTAAAAATTAGCATTAAGTCTTGGTTATTTCTAAAGCTGCCTTTAAAAGTCATCTAGTTCAACCAGCTCACTTTGCAATTCACCAAGTGAAATTGCCAAAGCCATTACATAATTGTCCCAAAGTTACCTAGGAGCAAATGAGAGAACTAGGGCTAAAAAAATTCATTTCCCTCTCTCCAAAAAGAAGTAATTTTGCCTATCTGAAAATTTTTTCCAGATAAAATGGCACCTTAAAATGTGCAAAACTATTGTTCCACTGTGTTTAAAACAATCTTGAGTATTGAAAATTACTTTATATAATTTTTACAAGCCAAGGGGACTATAAAATATGAGACTGCTTTTACAATACCTTTTCTAAACTATAACATTTTAAGACAGTATAAAGTGTGACGCTCATAAAGTCTAATTTACATGTCTTGAAGAGTGTTCAATTGGCAATAAACCCTTTAAGACACAGAAAGTACAGTCTTTTGCCACTAATGTCTCATTAAATTGGTTATCTGTGTTTTTCATGCAAATTCGTTCTTCTATAAATGAAAGTTTTCTTGAATATGGAAGTGTAATTTGATACTAAGCATAGTCTGAGCATAGAAGTGTACATTAATTTTAAAAATCTCTAAATCTAAAATATTTCATCTACCATGACATAAGCTCTAGGCTGCCTTGTGTCTAATGTGCCTGGGACAGACCTGTTTTATACCTGTGGTCCAGGCCAGTTATTCAAAGTACCACTTTTCACTGTCAGAAGGATCTCGGCTAATAAAGAGAACTTTGCTTGGCCATCCTACCAGTGCTCACTCAGACTGCTAGACATTTGCACCTGCTCTTCCTAAAATGATTTCCTTTTGCCAGATGTCCTCCTGAAAAAAATTCCTTACTGTGTCTGTTCACATTCCAGTTCCTCATGAACATTTCTTGTTTCCCACATGACGCTGCCTGCACACCATCCTCTCAAGCCCTTCACTGTCCTGCAGCGCCTCATGCTTGTCTGTTCACACATTCCCGGGGACCAGGCACCACTTTCCCTCCCTCTCTGCCTGGCACTCATGTGAGCGGCAAGCCAGAGGAATCTAAACAATTTGGACTGGATGGATGGCTTTGGGCTGTATCCTACTAACATAAAATTTTAATTCTTAGATATATGTGTTCTTGAAAGTTTTATTAGCACTATGAAGGATGATGATAATCCATTCCTGATGGGACTTAGGCCAACCATACAAATTACAGATCTAGGTTATTTTTGTATGGTTTTTCTTTTTAAGTCAGTCTATTAGCTAACCACGGTCCAGTCATAATATATTGGCACCAGAGTATATGCTTTATAAAAAAATTCTATTAAATAATAATAAAAAAACATTCCCAATTAGAACCAGGAAATCCGACACAGTGAGTCACTGTAATTGATTTCCACAAAGCACTGCAGGCCTGTGCAGGCCCCTCCAAAGGAAGACGCTGCAGTTTTAAACACAGTAAATAGTTCTATTGTCCTAACACTACCTCTTGTCCTACTTCTATACTTGGAAGCATGGCACAATGTTTACCTTGAATAATGCATGGCTTGGTGGCCTGCAATGTTAAAATAGAAGTCTGTGGTGTGCTTCATCTCATTGGTGTGCCCAGTGGCCTCAATCCAGTGTCCTATGGGGAGGCAATAAACACCATCCACCAAGTTGTTTTCATTATAAGTACAGCAGCGGTCATGGTGAGGTCCATTGCCTAGAACAGGAAGAAATACAAAGTAATGCAAATCAGTGAGTGTTTTGCTTCATCAGCCCCAAAGTGGCTGATGTAAATCAATAATAAAATGAAAACAAATGTAAACTTGCTTAATATTCACATTTCAGCATGAACACAAACAGATTTGAGCGAGAGATGGAACGGGAAGTTATTTAACGAACTACCTATGGAAATCATAGGGTTGTGCAGGCACATTAGCTCTTTCATAGTATGTCTCAGTATTGAGAATCATGACAGCCTGGTGAGTTGCTGAAAGGATATACTGGTGCTAGTTTTCTGCCCATGTTACATGTATCCAGACACACTACGTTCCTACGTCAGGGAAAGAATACATCGCTGATATATATCACTCAGCCACAATTTTACACATCATCAACTACACTGTGCCTGCAGTCTGAGTAGTTGGTGTCATACTAAAACTCCTATGTTGAAATCCTAACTCTGCAGGTGATGGTAATCTGAAGTAGTCTGTGGGAGAGGATGAGGTCATGGGGACAGAACATTCATGAATGGCACATGTGTCCTTGCAAAAGACGCCCAGAAGATTCCTTGCTTCCTCTCACTGTGTGAGGGACGGCAAGCAGAGGTCATGTATGAGTCAGAAAGCCAGCTCTTACAAGACCATAAATCTTTTGGTGCTTTTGCCTTGGACTTCCCAGCCACTATAATGTGAGAAATAAGTATCTATAGTTTAAAGCCTATCCAAGGGGACTAGTATGTGGCACAGTGGTTAAGTCCTCTCTCGGGACACCCACCTCCCATATTAGAGTGCCTGGTTTGAGTGTCCTTTACCTCCTATCCAACTTCCTGTTAATGTGCACATTGGGATGAAGCAGATGATGGATCAAGTTCTTGGACATGTGGAAACTCAAACGAGTTCCTAACTTCTGGCCCTGTCTTGGCTATTGTGGGTAACTGGGGAATGAACTTACAAATGGATCTCTATCTCTTTTTCTTCCTCGCTCTTTCTCTCTCTGCCTTTCAAATACAATGAACACAAACAACACAAATTTAAAAATCACCAATTTGTTATAGTAGCCTTAATGGTAGAAGATATTAGTAAACTTGGATTACTATAAAAATTAATAATCATACATGCATTGTTTTTATTAACCATTATTATGTGATCACTCAATTTAATAACATTTTTCATTATGCTAATTGTTAATATAAGAAAAACATAAATAAAATAAATGTCCCACAGGTTTATAGAAAAACTCACATTTGTTCTGAATACAAACAATGTGACTCATTTGCTTGTTGCTCTCTCTTATAAAATATTTTTGGGGTTTCTATTGGTTTATTTTTTTTTATTAATTACATTGCATTATGTGACATAGTTTCATAGGCTCTGGGATTCCTCCAACCCTTCCTTGTACCCTCCCCCCATGGTGTATTTCTCCACCCTGTTGCAGTATTACACTACAAATCCAGTCAAGATTGTTTCTTTGCAAACAAATACCAAGTATAGAGTCCAGCATCTTATTATCCAGGTAAATTCAACGGTTTCTTGGGGAGACCATCTCTGCTCTGAAGGTAGAGCTGGCAGAATATCATCCTGATCAATCAAAAGCCCCAACATAACATCAACAGCAACTTACAACATTATCAAATTGACATGGTATTGAGTAACCAATATGTTATAAAAAAAAAAAAAAGCAAGTTCTTAACCACATCCTCTGACTACTTCATTAACATTTCAATTTTAGTTTATATATAGAACCAGATGCTATACACCTTAAAATGGCTATAGGGTACTATTCAGCTCTCTCGTGTCTATTTTCATTTTAGTATTTAGCAGTTTATAGTGTTGAAGCATAATTTTGCTGAACTTGGCAGATTTTAGGATAGTCTAAACTGGCTTATAACTCTAACAAGGCATATGTCTAACAAGGCAACTGTTGAGGTGCAGAACAGTTCTAGGAGGGATGTGCAGAGAAACCTTCAATACCCTAGTGAGGAGTAACTAATCTTTGTGTCCTACCTAGTAAGGCATATGTGAATCCATGCTGACCATTTCCTGTCTGGTTCTAAGCTTTCCTTGTTGTTCTCTATCTATTCAAAACATTTTTTGCATCTTTTATTATGCTAATTGTAATATAAGAAAAACATACATAAAATAAATGTCTCACAGGTTTATAGAAATGCATTTGTTATGAATATAAAATTGTGACTCATTTGCTTGTTGCTCTCTCTTATAAAATATTCAACTTAAAGTTTCTTAGCATTAAGTCTCAAAAGAACAAACACTTGTAAGTTACTGGGTACTCTGTTGGGATACAATTTCGTTCCAGCAGGCAGAGGGTACAGGACACGTCTCTGAATAAATCATTAATGTTCTTAGGCTATATTTTTCTTTCTTGATGGCTACAAAGCACTACACCACCTCTCCATTAGTCCTAATATTTATTAGAAGAAAGCCAAACTACACTAACAAGCACACTTTTAGAAACAGATGCAATAGAAATATTAACAACATTAAAGAAAGGCACATATACAAGTAAGTGAGCATAACAGCAAGTGCTTCTAAACATGTAAGCTTCTTTATTATCCCACAATCATTCACTGAGACATGTACTGTGTTAGGCCATGCTAAGGATTTAGACTAATTTTAAAAGTGCAGTGACCTGATCATACTTTTATTTTGGAAAAAAAAAAAACTCTGATTAGACAGTAAAAAATATAATTCAAGAAAAATGCCAGCTTTGTAGCATAGCAGGTAAACCCCACCTGCAACATTTGCCTCCCCATATGGGTAATGTTTTGTGTTCTGGCTGCTCCAGTTCTGATATATCTCTCTACAAACAGCCTGGGTAAAGCAAGAGGTGACCCAATAGTTTGAGCCCCTACTGCGTATGTGGGAGATCCAGAGGAAGCTCCTGGTTCCTAGCTTCAGGCTAGTTACAGCCCTAGCCATTACCACGGTCACCTGCAAAGAAACCAATGAATAGAAAATCTCCCTTCTTTTTCTAACTCTGATTTTTAAATATATAAATTAATTTAAAAGAAAAAGAATAATGAAATAAAAGCTATTTGGGAAGCCATTAAATTAGCCTAGATAGAAGAAGATACAGAATTGGAAAGGAGCTGGTAGGTTCCCAAAGGAAAAGCCACCGGATTTTACAATTAATTGGATATAGGAGGTGAAGGAGAAATAATGTTTCCAAAGCTTGGAATGTGATTCCCTAAAAGGTGATATCATCACTGGTATGCAAAATCTGGAAGAGGGACGAAGGGAAGATCATCGGAATGGTTTAGACATATTAAGTTTGCAAGTACCAAAATGAGAAGCCAAATAAAGAGTGGGAGCTTTGGTTGGAAGCTCAGCACAGAAATCTGTTAAAGGTTTATTTTTATTATTTTTTCATTGGAAAGGCGGATATACAGAGAGGAGAGACAGAGAGGAAGATCCTCCGTCCGATGATTCACTCCCCAAGTGAGCGCAACGGGCCGATACTATGCCGATCCGAAGCCAGGAGCCTCTTCCGGGTCTCCCACGCGGGTGCAGGTTCCCAAAGCTTTGGGCCGTCCTCGACTGCTTTCCCGGGCCACAGGCAGGGAGCTGGAAGGGAAGCGGGGCTGCTGGGATTAGAACCGGCGCCCATATGGGATCCCGGGCGTGCAAGGCGAGGACCTTTAACCACTTGCGCCACCGCGCCGGGCCCCAGCACAGAGATCTGAACTAGAAAAACAAATCTATGAATCATTTGAGTATAAACAGTAATTGGCGATAAGGATAGCTGAGTCACAAAGAAAAACAGCATTGACTGGGAAGAATAGCATTCTAAACTAAGTCTGAAAGCATTTCAACATTTAACAGTAGGATGGAAAAAGATGTACTTACAGGAAGGCACAGAAAGAAACACTAAGCAGAAAAAACAGGCGTGAGTGAGGGGGCAGAGCGTGACTGATAACGTAAACATATACCAACACCAGCTGGATGCTTGTTTGACATAAGCAGAGGTTACATATGGGAGACAGAACTGGGTGGAGAAGGGTAATTTAATCTATTTTGACTAACTGCACCTGATCCAAAGAGCAGGTTTAATTTTACAGTTTAATAAAAGAACGGCCATGGCACATAGTGATCAGTACACTAGACCTATAATAATTTAAATGCATATCTTACATGTAGAATTACTAAAGAGTTCAAGTGCAAATAATTTTCAAGAAAAAATATGCAATCTTTCTTTTTCAAACTTCTTCATTCCAAGAATTTTTTGGTATTTTTCGCAAATACATGTTTTGGGCAAATTTCAGAGAAGTTTTTCACATAATGTAATTGGGTTATGCAAACCATTCTAGCCAGTTCATAATATTTTAGGTGATAAGCCATTGTTTTGCTTAATATTTATTAATTTATTTTATTTATTAGAAAAGATGACAGAGGTTTGTTGACACACTGGTTCATTCCCCACAAATATCCATACCAGCTACAGCTGGACCAGGTTAGAGCCAGGAACCCAGGAAGTCAAGACTGCATCCAGGTCTCAGATTGGGTGGGAGGAATCCAATCAAGGAACTCACTGCCTGCTGCCTGCTTCCCAGTGTGAACTAGCAGGAAGCTGAATCCAAAGTACAATAGCCGGAAATCAAACACAGGTGCCCCAGATGACAGTCCAAATCCCCGTGCCATAACAACCACCCCAGTCAGTGCCTCCTGAATTTAGCCTTTAAAAAAGCAAAATGAGTAACAAAATAACTCTTATATAGGGAAACTTCTGCAGCCAGGACAAAGGAGAAAACACATATTTCCTTATTCCTCCCACTAACTACAATTAAAATCAATCAACTGGTATTGATCTATAAACAAATGTAAGATGACATTGAAGGGCAGACCCTCTGTGCACTAAAACATCAGCAACAACACAGTTAAGCAATCCTTTGGTTTTGTTTCTGCCTTGTGTATTTCAGACTTCAATGAGAAGAAGCCAGCAAACTGGTAATAATATGCAAAAGACATCATACCAAAAAGTCCA